GTATAGATGCTTAGCTAATATTATATTTATAAAAATAATCAAATAAAAATACAATATAAAAACTTCGAAACCCCTGACCCCAATTTATTGCACAACATGTGTATTATTCCATCATATAAACAACGAAATTATATGTATATAATATAAATATATATATGTGTGTATGTATACATATGTACATATATTTATGGATCTATACTAAAAATATGGATTTTCTGGTTCCCCTGAAAGCTACAAACTGAACTTTGTATGGCGCGGGCTGTGCTTCGCAGTTGATAAGCGACCACACAATTAAGCTCAACTATTGTCCGGCAACAGCTGAAGATGGAGAAGAAGAAGCAGATGAAGAAGATGCCAAAGAAACAGCATCCCTGAGACAGATAAGCGACGGAGAAACCTCGCGTTCATAGAGGTGAACGCGTGCGGGGCACAACATTTTTCCGTAGTAAAAAATTCCAAATAAAACCAGTGCAAATGGTTCAAACGGATGTGCGTGACTAGCAGATATCCTGGAGATGTTGCAATTTAGTTAAATTCCATATGGGCCAAAAGGAATGAGAAAGTGATTTAGGTCTACTTGAGGCCTATCTAGATCTGTGATGACTCAAGCTCTTAGAACGTAAGAACTAACGGATGTTCGATAAAGATTTTTATCGATTGGAGGGCAATATAAAACAGATATCGAATACAATTAAACTTCTTTGTATTGTCCAAGTTCAAATCAACTCTTGAGATGATTCATAGGGCAGTCTGCCACGCCTGCTGCTGCCTATGCGCACATCTTTTACATGAAGCACATGCCGCCCTTTGTCCACTATCAATCGTCTATAGGGTATGAACGCAAATAAATGAAAACAAACCCCAGCAAGTGCGCCGCAATGTAGCAGAATACACAGAAACTGGATCGTTCCAGTTCTACTGGTCGCACTGTCATATAATGATGTTCAATATTTCTATCAAATTATAACAACATATACTTGAGCTGATAACCAACCCAGGGGTCTAACTGACTGACTGGGTCTGGCCGGCTGGCTGATTGGGTTTGTGTGGAGGTGCTAAAGTGGAATGCGATAAGCCGGAACGAGTCGTGCATATTGGGACGTACGTACGATGGAACCCAGATTCGTATTACTCTCTAGATGGTTTATCAAAGGCCCAGCCTCTCATTTTTGCTACACAATATATATACCATATATGTATATTAATATATAAGGTGTATAACCTCAGCTATCTATCTATCTAGTATCTATGTGTATTATATAAGTCCAGACAGTGAATGCTAGAGCAACACGAGTTATTATCCCACAACTTTCATATAACCACCACTTCATCAAATGTTATTAGAAATATATTATACGAGGGTAGTTTGAACGAACATCTTGATATGTACTTTAGATGGCAATATTTATAAATATAAATATGAAATATGAGAGGAAACAAAATTTGTTTTATTTTAGTTGAATGGAATTTTTTTTTTTTAATTTATTATTATTTTATTTATTAAATTAATAAAAAATCTTTTTTTTTGCCTACATAATTTTTCTTTTCTCGTCACGCAAATGAAGATAAAAGTTAAGAAATTAACACAAAAAAATCACAATTCATATCATTCATGAAGTGAATAGATCCATCAATTGTACAAATCACCCTCGTCCAGAGGCAGACGTCCAAAGTCTGGCCAAAAATATAAAACGCATCAAAATCATATATCGAATACTTTTTGCATGCAATTGGGGCATGAAACTAGGCTCCATTGTTTCGCGCTGTCTGGTCCCAAAATGTTATCTCAATAGCAGACAGTTTTGATATGCAAAAAATATATACAGCCGAGAGCACTGCAATTGGGCATAACAGACTGTCTCATACTCGTTTGCAGTTCCGAAGAGTCGTTATAAATAGAATTTGGGGAGTAATTCAGTAGAAGCCTACTAGAGAAAGCTTTAAAGCCCATATTGTGCATACAAATTTACGAAGTGCTATATTTAATACCAATATACTCTGCCTACATCGCCTGAACGGGCATATAAAAAACAAACCGCCAAATGAACATGAAAATGAAATATCATGCAAAGACTCTAATGGGAGCCGCCAGAAGTAGTAGTAGCTGGAATAGTAGACCCAATGGCTATATCAACATGTGCTATATTTATTAACTGATTTTATTGTAGTTGTTGTTGTTTTTGTTGTTGTGGCTGATACTGCTGACAATATCTCGTCTAGACTGCCTATTATTAGAGTCCAAAAAATATTTATGAAATTCATTGTTATAAAATATGAAGCAAAAAGTTTCCACACGCAAAGATTGGCTACAAAAAAAAAAAAAAAAAAAAAAAAAAAAAAAAAAAAAAATAGACGCAAGAAACAGCTAGAAGTTTAGAGTAGTAGATTCGTAGGGTTATAGCTAAATTAAAATGATATGAAGTGGGTTTTATATAGTTTTATAATAGCTAAGTTACGTTTTTTGATTTACTAATCTTAGCTAACTTTAAAATAGCTAGAATTTGAATAACTATAAATAATTCTAGCTTTATCTAGCTAAACGACTGTTGATTTAGGCTCTTAATAATATTTAGCTCGGATTTTAACTTGATCAAGATTCTAGCTATTTTTGGTATATACTTATATTAAAATATCAAGACTAGATTTTAGCTTTACTTGAGCTTAACATTTTGCATTACATTGCTGTTTATCTAAATGAAACATTTTAGCTAGAATTTGAATTTGAAGCTAGATTAGCCTCTAGTACTAGTTCTGATTGCACTAGGTCTAATAGGAAAAAATATTTACGAAATATGGCTCTTAGCTATATCTAGCAATGTGTGAAGTGATATATATTTTAGCATATTTTAGTTAACCTTAGAAGTTAGTTTTGTAGCAAATATGTTTCATATATTCCATATTATTAAACAATTATAAGTACTAACAATTCAATAATCAACCATTAATAGATAAATAGCACATATACATATATATTTACAACAAACAACAACAGCAAAGAAACCTGATGCAATCTCTTATTCCAATTACATTTCTGCCAAAAAAGTTCACAGCACGCGCAGCAAAAAAATTATATAAAAAAAAATTACTTATCACGTTAATTTTTGTTTATTATTTTCGGAAGAGAGGTGCGGGGGGTCAGAGGTTTTAGTGATAAGCCACAGGAAGCACTCAATACACGTGCAGAGGCATTTAAGGCCAGTCACACCTGTACCACACACACACACACACACACACACACACACACACGTTAGTCAACACTGCGCACAGCACTTACACGTAGTCCAGTAGCCCAGTTTTTATTTTATTTTATAACAGTCTTATTTCAGTTAACTTTTAAACAATTCGTAGGCAATTGAATTTTTTGCGCACGTTTGAACTTGTGATGCATATCGAACTGTCTTCGACATTGTCTGGAGCCGCCGACTCCAACTCCACAGCTCCCTGGGTGAGGTCCGTGGGGTCGCGGCAAACCAAAATAAACGCCCTAGCATTGAACCACACGGCGTGTGTGGATTGAAATATTGGTATATAAATAAGTGCAATACATTTGCCTGTTTTTTAATCATAATTATAAATACATATTGAGGTATATTGAAAGCAGCAGCATCAGCTGCCTCACACGAACATCTCCAGGTTCTTCTGCATATAGCTGACCAATGCCGCCTCGAACTGGGCACGTGTAACGGCGTCCATTTGCAGATTGAAGCTCACATAGAATTGACGGCCGTAGCGCATGGCCAGCTTGTTGGCCAGCACCAGAGAATCGCTCTGCCCGCTCTCGCCGAGAAATGTCGTGGAGACGATTTGCTTGCTGGGCGGGCGTGATGGCATCGCCATGGCAAACTCATCCACCCGCTCGGCATCTGTGGTACCCAGGAATATCAGTGTACTGCCATTCATCTTCAGCACACGCAATGTCACCTGCACAGAGCCCACAACGAGTTGAGCCATGTGCGAGGCAAAGGGCAAGCTCGATGCCGTAGCCGGAGTTGCTGCTGCTGGTGTTTGTTGTTGTTGTATCTTGGCAATGTCGCCGCAAGCATCCTGCAAAACAGCACAGCTTTCCATGTCTATAGTTTGTTTGTTTTGCCTAGGAATAATTTTATATTTGCTACTTTATAAATTTACAATGAAATGCAGTTTTTTTGTTAGATCACAGTGTTGCTAAACAAACAAATGTTTTGCAGGGCTGCAAGCTCATTTGCAAAGCTTACTGTGTTGTATAGCGCAAGCATTTGCGCGCCAAAGCGAATTCAATTTAAATTTAGGGAATTTTATTCGCTTTCCCGCCGTTGAACTAAATCAAAACACATTTATATTCGCCGTTCGCAGTGTTGTTTTCATTTTATTAAGGCTCGTAATTTAAATGTAGGCGTTTTCTTTTTTTTTTTGGATTAAAATACATATTACGATTTCGATACAAGCTCCATGGATATATTGATGTGGAGCGGGTTTCAGCTTGTTTCGATTTATACTACTTAAAAGAATATATATTTATATTGAGAACTTTCTGTTTGCGATTAGCAAAGAAATTATAAGAGAAATTCATATTTAGAAAAAAAAAGAGAACAATTTAGTGCATGTAAATCAGTTCAGGGTTAATTGTTCGAAATGAAATTCACTAATTAATTTATATATGTATATATATGAGTTTACGTGTGTCTCGATTTAAATATCATAAATGTTGCATTTGTTGTTTTTTCTTTTTTTTGTTTATTACGTTTGCGTCTATTGCCTTTATATATAGATATATTGGTTATTGGTTAATTGTTATTAAAGTTGCTTGAACTTGAATGAATATCAAATAATTTGGATTAACTTGTAGCGTTTTTCTACTATAATTTGACTAACATTTTTGCAACCGCGATTTCAACTTTCATCTTGTTTATATAATGTGTTTTTAAATGGGAATTTTTTTCGATTTTTTGTTGACTTTTGTAAATTTTTTTTAATGGTTAATTTTTGTGATTTTTTTTTTTTTTTTTTTTTTTTTTCTTTACGTTTAGCTGGTTGCGAATAAATATATATAGAAGTGTTATTACATATATAGTGTGTGTGTTGGATTATTATGCATCGTTTATTGATTATGGGGCGCTTTAATCTTCGTCATCCTCGGATTCAGCTTCCTGCAACCAGGTCAACCAGGCGTTCACCTGGAACAATGCTGAGCCCTTGCCTGGATATTTGTCCGATATCTCCTCCTTCCATAAAACGAATGCTTCCTCCTCAATGATTTCGAAGTCGTAGAGATATTTAAACCAGCGACAAAGCATGCCTGCGAAAAATTGAAAAATGAATATTAGTATATAGCCATAGAAAATTAGATATTATATATATCTTACCCTTGGGGAAGTTCTCGTTATAACAGAAAGTCTGCAGTGCATAAAGCGCCATCAATTGCAATTCGTTTTGACCTAGGAAAGTTTGCAGCATTTGGCTGTAGGTCTCCAGCATGTTTTGTTCCTTTTGTATTATTGATTTCTCGGGATGCTCCTTGGGGTCCACGTTGCTAGCCAATGTTGTCTCCTTGGTGATGTATTTGACCACAACGGTCATGAGTGCCTGGATGAAGCCTGGGTCCTTGTAGTACTTGTTATCCACATTAGCCTTGATCCACTTGTAGAAATTGTTTGGATTTGGATCGTTTTGCAGCTGCTTCAGCATCTCTGCCTGCACCTTGAGCAATGGATAGAGGAAGGACAGCTGTCGATCCTCTAGAATTTCGGCCAAACGCTCCTTGTTGCGATCCACCTCGGGCAGGCTGTTCATCAAATCAATTTTGCTAGCACGGAACTTCTCCTCCAGCGCATCCTTGCCAATGGTCTTGTGCAGCTGCTGCAGCACCAGCAAAAACAATGGATAATGTTGTCCATTGTCCGTGTAGTTGGCAATGTCGTTAAGCTTTATCAGAGCCGGCTCGCATACGGCCTTGCTGAGCACGGAGGCGACCAGGGCTGTGATGCGTGGGTTAAGTGCCTCGCGCTCGTTCATCTTGTTGACCAACTGCTTGAAGATCTCAACGATGATATTTGGCTTGATGTTGGCCTGCTTGCGCAATGTCTGCAAGAAGCGCACGACACGTTCCAAATAGACGTCGTTGACACGGTCAAGCACCTCCATCAATAGATTGAGACAGACATCCTTGAGCGATTTTTCCGGTAGTTTTAGCTCAATAAATCCTTCGACCAATTCCGTAAACTGATCGCGTTGTCCATTGACGGGTTCCACTGTTTCCGATTCGGTTTGTTGCTCATCTTCATTTTCGATTTCCTGCTTTACAATCGGCTCATCATCCGCTTCCTGCTTCTCCTCATAGTAGAATTTCTCCTTGAAGTAGGCTTGCGCCTTCTTGGACAACTCTTCCTTGCTTGGTCCCTTGTCCTTCTTCTGCTGCTTGCCGGAGCCGGAGCCAGATGGTGTTGTCGGTCGGTCGGAGCCGCCATTCTTGGCATTGGCTCCCAGCTGCTGCTGCTGCTGCTCCTTATTATCATTACCACCTGCTGCTAATCCTGCTGTTAACTTCTTGTCCTGCTCCATGGCTGCCGATTGACCGAAATTGGGCGACGACGATGTTGCCTTCAGGCTCTTCTCGCCCAGCTGCTGCACTGCGTGCAGCCCACGATTCTCGATACCATATTCCGCCGAGGGCGTAGACGATGGCCGCACCGGAGTGTTGATCAGATGTGATGTGGGTGTGCCCAGCAATGGATAGTGCGAATTGGAGAGCTGCGATGTGGCCGATTGCTGTGCAGATGAGCTGCTGCTGTTGCCGCTGGGCGGCGTCGAAATGGGCAGCGTGGCCGGGAATTTCTGATTCTGCGAGGCGGCACGGAACAGCAACGAATTAGCTGCTGGACGCATTTGCAGATTCTCAACCGAATCCTGATTGGTCGATATCAAGTTGCGCTTGAAACGTGGCGCCAACTCCTTGCCGCCCAGCATCATTTGATTGCCGCCTCCGCCGTACTGGCCATCATTATTCCGATCGTTGTTGCGATCATTGTTACGATGCGAGCCGCCACTGCCGCCGCCGCCGCCGCCACGTGAATCATCGCGATTGTTGCTGCTGCCGCCGCCGCCAGATCCATTCTGGTTGTTGTGTTTGTTGTAGCGATTGTTGCCGTAGTTGCCACCGCCACTGCCGCCTCCACCGCTGTTGCCGCCCTGGTCACGGTTACGATCACGATTACTGTATTGGCGATTGTCGCGATCACGATCCCGATCCCGATTGTTGCTTGTGGCAAAGCTGGAGAAAGGAGAAAAAGAGCGATAGAAAGATTGTATGAACTTCTGTACCTCACAGCATATATCAATATATATTCAATACTCACGGTGATACAATGGGCGATGCGCCCGTAACACTGAGTCCGCTAAACATATCATTGTAGCCGCCAGGCTGTATATTCAAATGGAAGCGATTCATCCAGCTATCGCCGTCGCGATCATTGTTGCGCATGTCGCGGTTGCGATTGGCGAATTGGGTGCGTATGATGGAGTCATCGTCCGAGCGTATTTGCTTTATCGGGACGGGTCCTTCGGAGCTGCCGCCAACCTTGCGCGGTATCCAATTGTTTTGACGCAACTCGATGACATCCTTTAGCATAAAGCGTATCCTTGGTGGATATTCAGTTGATTTTGAACGACGTTCCAACGTCTCAAAATACTGGTTCATCAGCTCTTTGCCCTGTTCTGAATCCAGATTCTTGCCGCAAGTCTTGAGCAATTGAGCCAGGCATTCCATGTCCTCGCACATCTCTTGCGCCCCGGCCGTACGTTTCTTCTTCTTATCCAATAGCTCCATAATGCATGCGTGCAACACATGCTTCGACAGCATGTCCAACTTGTTGAGTTCACCAATGAATTTAACATTGCCCAGCATTCTCTGCTTGGCCAGATGGCGTCGCTCCTCCTCATCGGCCTCATTCTCGGGCGGTGGTCGATTATCGTTGGCCTCATCGCGCTTCAAGCGATTGTTGAACTTGTCGCGACAGACGGCAATCAGAAGACGTAGAAATGTGCACGAATTATTTGGATCCTTTTCAAATGATGGCGCTTCCTCGGACAAACGCTTGCACAGCTGTGCATACATAGACGAGTACTTCGGCTCGTCCAAGGCTTTGTCGAAGATCAGTAAGATGACACCGTTCAATATGACAATCGAATTCAGATCTAGCTTCAGCAGCTCATCGCTCAACTCTTGGAATTTCTCGGGCGTCAATTTGTTCAATATGCCACGGACACGTCGGAAAACTGCATCGTTCTTCTCGCTCTGCGTTAGGCCATGCTGTGGACGCAACGATGGCGGTATCCAGCGTCCGGTAATGGGTTGCTGTGCTCCAGCTCCAGCGCCGGCACCAATTGATGCTGCGCCTCCTGTTACTGATGATGCTGCTCCTCCTGTTGCTGTTGGTGGCGGTGTAGACGACTTGTATGATTGCTGTTGCTGCTGCTGCTGTTGCTGATGATGATAACTTTGCTGCTGTTGTTGTTGATGCTGCTGCTGTTGCAGATTGTTGCTTGCTGCAGTGTGTCTCAAGTTCTGGCCACGCTCGTAACGCTCGTCGTTGTTGCCTCGATTATTGTAACGCCCGCCGCCGCTGCCGCCGCTTCCTCCTCCTACACCACCTGCGCTGTAGCGTTGATGTGCCGGTGATTCGTCTGCGTAGCTATCCCTATAATTGTCCCGCTGGCTATAGTCGTCACGTTGATAGCGTCCACTCAGGCTGCCGCTGTTATTATTGTTGTTGTTGTTGTGGTTGCTGCTGCCGCTGCCATCGTTGCGCTGTGAGCCGTAATTTGATTTATTTGGATTGCCAATTGTCGAATTGCTGCCGTAATGACGTTGTTGTTGTTGTTGTTGTTGCTGCTGCTGCTGCTGTTGTCCGCTGCTGCTACTGCTGCTGCTGCTGCTGCTGTTGTGGTTGATGTTGTTGCTGCTACTGTTGCCATTGCCATTGACCGTCTCGTAGCGTGAGCCGCTGCCAGTTGCTTGATGCGAGGCGCGATAGCTGCTGCCGCTGCTGTTGCCGCCCGCCGAGGAGTTTGTGTTTAGATTTCGATTGTAGCTGACGCCATCGGAGGAGCTCGAGTGATAGTTGTTCCGACTACCACGATGAACTCCCAGACTACCGTTATAACTGCTGCTATCAGCTGACTGCTGACTGCCGTTAGTCAAGCCGCCAATGCCGCCGCCTCCGCTATTATTGTTGCCAGTCGCTGCACCCAAAATGTCACTATTTTTGCTATAGTAACGCGACGACGACGAATCGTTTTGATATGATCGTCGAGGCCTTGGGCTTAGCTCCGAATCGTGTTGACGAATTTTGACGGTATTCTTGTTATAGCCACTGGAGTAGTGTCCGCTAGGGCCACCAATTTGCTGTCCTCCTACACCGCCTCCAACTCCGCCTGTTCCCGATGAGTTAGCACCTGTGATCGAACCAGTGCTTGAACGGCTACCGTTGCGACCACTCAGTCCAGATTCGTTGCCGCCAATTGATTTATTGGAACGATAATTGCCGCCGTTGTGGTTCGCACCGTTGCTGCTTGTGCCCTTGTCAATCTTCACCAGATTCTTGAGATTATTGAACGTATCGGTCGCTGTGGTGATGGGCAATAGATTCGGACTGGTATTCAGCAGTGTCTTCTGGCCAATGGTTGACGCCGTTGTTGGTGTTGTCGATGTGGTTGTTGTTAATGCCGATAGTGGTGTCGGTGGTGTTTGGCCTCCGGTACCGCCGCTGCCGTTATTGCCGCTGCCGCTGCTGCTGCTGGTGACGCCTAAAACGGCGCCGCCGCCTCCGCCTCCACCGCCGCGATTGCTCAATTGCTCGTAATTGCGCTCGATAATATCGTTTGGTTTCGACGACGTTATTATCAAACGCAAATCGTTGACGCCGCCGCTGCCGCTGCCGCACCCACTGCTGCTGCTGTTGACGCTGCTGCTGGTGTTGGTGCCGCCGCCGCCGATGCTCGTCGTATCACCGGTACTGGTGCCTCCCTCAATGGTGATCGTTTTGGCGCTGTGGCGGAACTGATCTATGATGACGCCTGCCTGATGCCCGTTGCTAGTACCGTTAGCCCAACGCTGCGGACTATCGTCGTAAGTGTGCAAAAGGGGAGCGGCGTCGTACGTTGATAGTGGAATGGTGATAATTTTTCTCTATCGACTCGGGAGCGAAAAAATGTAATTCGTGGATTTTCGTCTCACTGGAGGGGCTCGCTGTTCCTAGCGCGCTCTCGCTCTTTGTTAACGGTACTCTTGGTAGCTCGATCCTGTTTGATCTGCTTCTCGCTCTCGCTCTGGCTCTCTGTGCTCTCCCTGTGTGGTGTTATACAACACAACACACGCGAAACAAAACAAAAATTTTGTATAGTACACACAGACACGCACGCACACAGAGACACACACACAAAAATATATATATATATATCGATATATAAATATATATGTGAATATATATGTTAAGCTGTATATGTATAGCTGCTTGTTAATTGATGGGGCTCCCTTCGGTTGCTTTGTCCTAAAGTCTGTCTTTCTCTTCTGCTACGTCTCCTTCGATATATGTTTCTGCGTACGTTTTGCCAGATGTTTTATTAATATTTATTTTTTTGTTTGTTTTTATTTTATTTATGTAATTTGTTTAGTTAGATAGATTCCTGTCTAATCGGATATTGCCTGCTCCGTTGCTGCTTGCCGCTTACTCTTATAGGAATCCTGTTGATAAATGAGAAAAGGTCGTGCCAAAATTCTAATTAGAAACGGTATTGATATGCTATAGGGGGATTGTTGGTAACAGTTTTCAAATAATATGAACAAACAAAAATATAAATTGACGAGACAATGTTGTGTGATATGGTCCAAATATATTGTACATACGTACAAGCGTATACTGACAAATGTGCAAATGAAAACTGAGCGGATATATACACAAACACATACAGATATAACAATAATAGATATAATAGAAATCTTTAAATCGAATTCCCTTGACATTACTTTTCACATCGACTCTCTCATTTGCTTATGCCTGCATATAAAAATGTGGGTATGTGTGTGTGTGAGGAATTTAATAAATGCCCAATAAGTGTTAATTAAGCTGCTCTGGCTTTTACTATGGCTCGAGGCACAGCTGTTCGTTTTCTTCGTTCAGTTACGCTCGAATTTAAAGCTTTGGTTTACTACTACAAAATAACGGTTGTTTGACAATGCTCGCTCGCTCACTTGCCGTTGGCAATGGGAAACTATCATAAGTCTAAAACTGGAATTTTAATGAAAATAACCTCGGAAAACACCTTCAAGTTTATTTCACTTTTCCCCCACACACGACGCAACGCAATTGAGCGTCACACACAAATACACAAACGATGGCTGCGTTCTCTGCTCAGCTTGGGGAAATTTCAATATGTATGTATGTATGTACATATGCTGTACATCTACGTGCCAGTGTTGCCGTGCTGCACCATTAAAATGCGCAAATAGAGTGCATTTCATGAAATAAATGTACATATTATTAATGCAATTACTTGAGCTGCTTAATATACAGCAACACAGTTTTTTTAATGCACTTAAATTGATTTTAATAAGCAAACAAATTGAGTGGGGCAACTAACTGGTCGGCCAGGTCGTTCGCTTTTGTTCTTTGTTGGCTTTTTCTTTGTTTGCGCGCGCTCCGTTTGCCAAGTTTGAACTCCTCCTCTATGTACATACATACATATATGTATGTGAGTGTATGGGAATAAGTGTATAAAAATTCAAACTGGGATGTGTGGATGCTCACGTATCTCGCAAAAACTCACACACATACTCATGCACATTTTCAAGCGTGCGTGTATATATGTATGTGTGTACCCATTTCGCTAGACGTTGCTGTTGCGCACAAGCGAGCGAATTTCTCAGTGTCAGTGTCCTTTGAATGTGTGCGTGTGCCTTTGCGAATGTATGGGTTTGTGTGTGTATGTATAGAGGTTTATGGCCTCTGCTAGAGCTTTCGTTGGTTCGCAGTTTCCGTTCTGCGCCATCGAATTAAAGTCTCTTGACCCCAATAAAAGTGTACTAAATGGGTGCGTTGTTGTTTTTTTGATTAGCGGTGCTTAGCCTAAACCCAAGAAAAAACAACATTCAAATTATTTCGCATCTGCGCCATGAGTCACATATGAATGCTAAATTTTACACTTTTGCTTTATGTGATTTTCACTCAAAGAGAGCACACACACACACATACACTCGCATACAAATTTGAGAGTTTCTAAAGTTTAAGCAAGATTTTGCATTTTGAAAGCTCCCCACCCAAAGCAACCCTGAAGCCTGATTTGCATTTAGTCCATATATGTTGAGGTTTGTACGTGTGTACGTGTGGCTGCATTTAAATGCCTTCCAAGCACCCCCCAAATAGTGTCCAAAGTGTAAAACCACCCCAAAAAGAGTGCGCATATATATTGCCGCCCTTTCTCAAGCATTGCAGCGCAAAGACGTCGACGACCCCGACCCGAACGCACCAAAACCCGATGCCGCGACAAAGAGACCCAGTTGTGGATGATTTTGACCTCAATTCAAGTGAGTCGTGCATAACCGTTCAAGTAAATCCCACTAGAAAAAACCTGATGCCATTTCCAATGACACTCACACACAAACACATATACATTCGCAGAGAGATATAAAATTGTATTTTAGATGGCAAACGCGTAAATTACTCTCGATTTAATCCAATGACCCGCCCTCGTTTTCTGCTAGAGCTATAGCCCGGCCTGTTTTCAATATGCCTTGCAACTAGTTTTTTTTATTCTTTTAATTTTCTTTTTGTACTCTTTTTTCAATGCTTTCGTCATGCACATCGTACAAAGTGCACACACACATACACTCAGCTGTGTTTGTATGCTGCTGCATGTGTGTGCGTACAAACGTGTGTGGCTGTGTTCGAAGATAAAACGCGTACACACGGAAAATCAAAATGAAGCTGCATTGAAAGCGAATCGAAAAACTCAAAACTCAACAAAGAAGAGAGAAGAGAGGAATGAGAGACAGAAGTATGCAGCAAAGCAACGTCAACATCAGTTTTCCGCTGTGTGTGCCGCTGCCGCCGCCATTTTGTTTGCTAGCACTTGACGTTGCCGTTGCCGCTGCTGCTACTGCTGCTCTTCTCTCGCTCTATCTACCTACATACATACAAATACATTTCTTTGTATTTTTAGTGAATCATTTTTTCTCTTTCTCTTTTTGATTTTGATTTCTTTGTAAGTTTCATGCAGCGCATTTACTTTTTTCTTTAACACCAGTTATACGAATTCACAATTTTAAGACGAAATACTGCGGCATTATTTCACACTTATTGATTCATCGTGAATTTTCTGCTGCTGCTGCTATGAGCGAGGAAGCAAAAACGAGGACGTTCCTAATGTACATCGTACATCATGGAAAAATTTTTGAGGCTATAATTTTTTTTTTTCAACACTCATTCTTATAACCTTAGCACATTTTGCAGTACAATTCAAACCAATATTACACACTTTAACTTTTGTCTATATGTATATTAAATATAATAATATAAGTAGGCTGTGAACTTTCTCTGTCTTTATTGTACTAACCTCTATAAATTACTGACTGTATGGCAACTTTTTTGCGAAAATTACTACCACCAGTCCGACGTGCTGCAAGACAATCGACGGTATTATCGGTTATCTGCTATGGGTGGCGTGCTTAGCGATATTTCCGTGAATATCGATGTGCGGAGCTATCGCAAAATTTTAGAGGCACGTATGTAGGTTAACATCGATTAAATTTTAGTTGCACGCATATATTTGACAGTTTGAGTGTTAATTCATGTAGTTCTTATATTTGATTATAATTTTACCCTCTATGCCTATTTTATGGGGCCTGTTTTTTGGGTATTTTCATCACTTCCGCAATCAGTTTCATTAACGATGTGACCGTCTGCATTTCATATTTGTCTTTTTATCGGCTGTGGTGCTCCCTGCGCAGCTGATTATTTCATTCTCATGTCGTTCCCTTTGAATGTCATTTGTTCCCCCATTGTTTGTTTATATTTGCATTGCGTGGGCGTGTGTGCATCGCTGCTCTACAGAATTAAAACGCAATGAGTGATATTAAAATTTTACAATTTGCTCCTTTTGAGTCGTTTGTATCGCCGACATTTTGGCATAAATTAGCAGAACTAAAACTCGACTATGACCGTTTGTCCGATACAAAACGTTCAATTTTCGGATACTACACAAATCGCAAGGCGTCCGGTTGTCTGCTCGAGGTCGACTACAGCGCATATAATAGGTAAACTGCGTGGCCAGCTGACTGATAAGAGGACACAATTAACTGTTAATTACTTCACAGTGAAGCGCAGACACCAAAATTCAGCCATTTAGCCCATGGAAATATTTACAATAAAAATACAATTGAGGAGTTCAAATCCCTGGATAAGACAGCGCTGCTGGTAGATGAGGGCAAACAACTGTTGGATGATATGCGCAGTGGCCGAGCCTTGAGCGACGCCAGTTTATTGACGCGCTTCTTTGTTCTGTCTTTCGCGGATCTGAAATGCCATAGCTATTACTATTGGTTCGCCTTTCCCTGCCCCCTGACACCCGCACTGGAATTGCTTAGCCCAGCTACAAAGCTGAAAGAAATTCCCAATAATCGAAACTATGTGGAAGCTATTTCCGTGTTGCCTGCGCATGCGCAGAACTTTTTTATCTTGCATGTGAACGAACAGGCGAAAGTGTGGGAGACGCTCAGCTTGACTGCTGCTTTAAGTGATTTCGATGAGCAGCGAGCGCAGTATTATATTTACTGTTTCGCCGATCCCAGCGAATATGAGAATCCTGCCTGGCTGATGCGCAACTATGTGGCATTGCTGTTCCAGAAATGGTAAATAATAAATGAATGTGTTCAACAGGTGCGCTCGAAGCAAGCTGTTTTGCTATTGGCTGAAGAGAAAGCAGAGAGAGAGGGAAAGAGCGTGAGTGGAATGAGCTTAAGTTACTCAAACTCAACTCTCTTTCTCTTTCTTTCCTTTTCACTTTTGTTTGGCAATGCGCTCAAACTTTAGCCACAGCTGTGTTAGATATGTGCTCATCAAACAAATTGTACTCGATATCGATAATACATTGAAGAGAGCGAAAGCGAGTGAATTCGATTTTCACAACACTGATTTAACTCAAATACACTTTTTTTACTCATTTCAGTCCCACTCTTATTGGCAAATCGCTCAAGTTCTTGGGTCTGCGCTATGATCAGCAAATGCATTTGGACAACAGCTTGATTTGGGAGGTACGTCAGGCGGAGGCATGGAACTATGAACAGGTGCAATTTGTTGGCTGGGAAGCGAATCGCAATGGCAAAATGGGACCACGCATGGCCAATATGCGGGATAGCATGGATCCAGCCAAGTTAGTAATCGCCCTACATATATACCATATGACTATAATATCATATGCTTTGCAGATTGGCTGAGAATTCGGTTAACTTGAATTTGAAACTTATGAAATGGCGTCTGGTTCCCGACTTAGATTTGGATATACTTGCAAAGACCAAGTGTTTGCTGTTTGGAGCTGGCACATTGGGCTGTGCTGTGGCTCGCAATTTGCTGGTTAGGCTGGATAGCACTTACTATATACATGTGTATATATATTAATGATCTTTTCTTTTAGTCCTGGGGCTTCAAGCACATAACGCTAATGGACAATGGCAAAGTAGGCTATTCGAATCCTGTGCGTCAAAGTCTTTATACCCACTCGGATGCTGTGGCTGGAAATTGCATGAAGGCAACCACAGCTGCCGCTCGTCTGCTTGAGATTAATCCGAGCGCTGTCACCAAGGGTTATATTTTGGAAATACCCATGCCGGGCCATACAGTGGGCGAGGCATTACGCCCACAAACCGAGCAGCATTTACAGCGCATCGAGGAGGAGGTGCGGGCGCATGATGTCATCTTTCTGCTAACCGATTCACGTGAGAGCCGTTGGCTGCCCACGCTGCTGGGTGCAGCAAATCAAAAGGTTAAATATGGTAGTTGAATATATTAGATAATGGGCGAGTAGTCTGTAGAATGGTTGTATTAGTATGTAGAATATATATATAGAGAATTCCTACATATGGATTACCTAAAATTTAAGATCATTTCTATTGTATAATGACCCAGTCAAATATGAGCTTTTATTAATATGTATGTATATTTTGTATGCTCTACAGATTGTCATGAATGCAGCTCTTGGCTTTGACAGCTATCTAGTCATGCGGCATGGCAGCACGCGAGAGCTCACAGGCGATTGTATCAAGGATGTCGAAGGACTTAAATGCATAACTGGACAACAGTTGGGTTGTTACTTTTGCAATGATGTCACAGCGCCAGGAAATGTGAGTAAAACTACAAAATTTAACAAAAACTCAGACTTTATTAATAAATATATACAAGCTAATAGTATATACAGTTTAAGTAGTATATTGAATAAGGCTGTATATGGTATATAATTATATATGGCATATAGTAGTATATTAGCATTTTATATATTGTACATTATCATAAATTATTTAGTATATACATACTGAGGCATACCACAGATTATATATCAGGACACTACAAATAGTAGTATATATATTGTACATAGTATATTACAAATAGTAGTATATACAATATAGTAGTATATGCCATATATATAGCATTCTATTCCATATACTAAAATATTTTATATAGTAAATAGTAGCAGAGCCTACTTTTACTTTAAGCAAATCTTAAAATATACTAAGCGCACTCGTAATCATGTCTCGAGTATTTCTCAAATCCTGCGCACGTCGTGTCGCCCGTTTGTACGTGATCGACGCCTGTGATTTGAATGACCAAGCCATTGATTGCAGTCACCTTGAAGCCCACGAGGTTCATCATGGCATTCGGTGTGCGCCAGGCGTAGCTAAAGAAATTGAACCCATCCACGGCGGTCAATACCTCGCGTTCCGTGAAAGCCAAGGCCAATTTAAATTGCTGATTGAAGACGAAGGGAAAGCCCCCATGCCGCTCCTCGATTCCAAACCTGCAAAAGAGAAGTGATTAATATATTTGTATTAGAATATTTAGCTAGCTTTAGGTGAGATTCTTATTCCAAATGGCTTTCGTTTAAAGGTGTTTTTTAATAAGGGTAGCTTTAAGCAAAGTCTTAATACTCTTTTAGCGAAAGTTTCACATTTTCAGTGTTGGACAATCAACTCAATATACTAGCACTAAACTTCACACAAAGATGAGCTTTAAGCGTGCTCTTATTGAGTGTGTGCTCTAATTAAAACCATTATTCAAATGGATTTAGGCTTAGCTGCTAGCTTAAGCAGTGTTGCATAACGAACTTACTCAAAATTCTTGTTCATGGTGTTGCGAATCACAGCCTTCTCGTCGAATCGCACGCTAAAGTGCAGTTCCTCGCGCTTCGTGTCGGAGTCCGTAAACTTGATAATAAATTGGCCACGTTTATTCGCGAAGCAGCGCGCTGTGATGACAATAACATGGCCGGGGCTAAAGAGTATCGGCTGGTCGTTGCTGAAGGCCTTGAAGTAGTCCGAGGCGTGTATGGCCGGCCAGGGATTGGGGAAGACGGTGCGATGATCTACCTGTTTGATCACCTGTATTTGATCGCGTATCTCGACCGCACGAATCGAGCTCAGAGGCAAACGATATCGAAATGTGCAGAACTCGCGGCTATTGATCGAAATGTGAAAGCACTCGTCAGCGGCCAGAATATAGACCATAAAGAACTCCCCGCTGACTATAGGATTGGGCAGATTGATATTGTCATCGACATGGGACTCCTCCTCGCCCCAGACGCCGTGCATGCGGGAATTGCGCACGATCATATCATTGCGAAAATAGCAGGAGAACCGCAGCCCAATGTCCGCATCGGGATTCACCGATGACTTGGCCGTGCAGAGATTGATATGGAATCTGGAATGTAGAATAGATGCCATTTAAATATGGTTGATTATACAATGGGAGGGCTAAACTGTGTTTAGTCATGTCATCAATGGCGATAACAACGTTTGACTCATATTGAAGGCAGGGCTCTAGATATTTTTTGTGTAATTTACCTGGCTGCTCCATCGATTGTTTTGGCCACGATTTCCAGCACATGGCCGAATTCCAGCGGATGCGATAAATTCCCCGAATATTCTGTTAACATATTTAATAGACTATATTAATAATTTGATTAGGAAATTCAATTTTCCTTTTTTTTCGGATTTTATATTTCGTGTTAAGGGTTTATCGTCGGGCAGAGCGAATCGACATTATCTCTGGCAGCGTTCAATGCCTACAATATTTCTTTAACAACTTCTCTGAGCATTCATTAGAATTTTTATGTACATACAAATAATTTTTATCTAATCAGCAGGCAGCTCACTCGAGCGCTCTTTTTTCATCATTTTTGTTGCTTCTGCTTTTGGCCTGCCCATATTTCCACTCCTCTTGACGTTATTTACTCTTTTTTTTACTTTACTTTATTTTTGTATTGTTTGTTTTTGGCTTTCGCACGCTCAGCTGTGCTGTGTGTCTGCCTTACCTATGGTTGGCGGCGTCATTTTTGTTAGTGTAAAGCTCGCCTTGGAATGTAAAGCTCTCAGCACAGCGTACAAAGTTGAACTGCATGAAAAAACTGTAAACATGCAGCAGTTGCTGCTGCGTTAATTGGATATAAGAGTAGCTCATGTAATGTATGTAAAATCGTATTACAAGCAGTCCACTGTTAAGTAACAGTAGTTGAACAGCTGTTCTGCAAGCTGCATACAGAGCTTAGGCGCATATCTTATAAGCAAACTTGCCAATTGGAAAATGCCAGCTCTAATAAGCTGTTAAGTTGGCTGCACAAAATGTAAACAGAATATTGAGAAGAGAGTTGTCAAGAGAGCTGCCATTTTTGCCAGAGTACAAAGAGCTAGAATGGAATTCAAATAAAACTGAATCACGATTCTGACATATAATTAGAATTTTCACATTCCTGCATTCAAATTTAAATAAGAATAAGCTATGATTTCGCTTTCTCTCTCCCTCTATCATGTTAACCTTAAACTTTACGTCTCTGTTATTTACAGTCGCTCAAGGATCGCACACTAGATCAACAGTGCACTGTTACGCGACCCGGCGTCTCTAACATAGCCGCTAGTTATGCAGTGGAGCTGTTGGTCGCCCTGCTGCAGCATCCGCTGAGGGAGCTGGCGCCCGCCTACTATGCAAACAGTCGCCAGCAGACGACGGAGGTGCAACAGCCGGAGGGGCTGTTAGGCATCTTGCCCCATTCCATACGCGGCATGCTGTGCAACTTTGAGAACATTTTGCCAGCCACGCAGAAGTTTGCGCAGTGCATTGCCTGCTCGGAGGTGAGAAGTCTCTATAAATATATCGAGCGATATGTCTATATAATAAACATATATTTATATATCTTTAGCGTGTTTTGGCCGCCTATCGCAGCGAGGGTCACGAATTTCTGTTCAAAACATTCGAAACGGCCAAGTACCTGGAGGATCTAACTGGTATTTCCGACTTCAAGCGACTTAACAGTGAGGTATGTGCACAAAGTTTATTATTGGATTAATCTAAATTTAATCTGTCTGTCTAATTTATAATTCCAGATAATTGACTTCGATGATAATGAGTTTGATATGTCCGACAATGATGATGATGATGATAATTAGTCTATTTTTTATTATTATTATCATGATGAACTATATGCATTTTCTATTATATTTAAGCTTAAAGTCATTTATTTAGCACCAAATTTTATAATTTATGTATGTGTGTTTTATAAGTATTCAAATCTCTGTATGTCGTTACAAATATATGTCATTTTAATGCAATGCAATCTGAGCTTGTTTACATTTTCCATTATAATATATAATCCGTAATATATAATTAAGAATTGTCATATAGTAATTCAATACTTATTAACAGACCATTTACTATTTGTTTTGTTATGTGTATGTTAGTAGGTTATGAGCAGGTCTTCATTGTCCTGCTATAATGTTAACGAATGTTATTAACAGCTCTCATACAGAACTTGTCCATGCTCAGTATAAGAGTTGCATAGAGAGCTCAAAGTTTGTCTTAGTGTGGATAAACACTAAACAGTTGTACTTATGTATTCATACTTATGTATTATCCGAATATGTATGTACATACATAAATACACTTGTATCACACCGAATTGATTTCCTGTTGTACATACATTACATATTCCGATAAGAATATTATTTATGACATTTTCATATGATTGTGAATCAGTGGAATCTCACAAATATTCGGTCTTGTTATTGTTTTTTGTTTACTTTTGACCTGGAAATGACGACAATTTTTGTTTTGCCCAATGTTTGTTTCTATTTGCTATTTTAGTTCTTAAATATTTACATGTAAAATATTTTGTTTTGCTTCTTGGGTTTTTTGTTTTTTTCTTTCTGAATATTGATAAGCCTATTAAGCTATCAAGAATCAGAACCATGAATCAAAAGTCAAGTTCATTAAACTCCTACAGGTAAGAGTTTGAAAAAGAAAGCGGGTCAACATACGGGTTCATGCTAAATGGCAAATGCTGTTCTTAAGGTTAAATGACTTAAAAATAGATTACGGGAAATTTAATTTTGGAAATCAGCAGGATCTGCTTCCTTAAGCCCAAGCACGTGTACAGCAATTTTACCGTTACCTGATTTTTAGCTCGCATTAATGAAATGTACAAAAATGACAATAACAAATCACTTGACACACATAATGTTGGTCTCAAACGGCATTTGACCCTAGGCAAAATCCAACAACAACAGCAACGGTTAATCACTTAAGGTTTGGCTACCCACTGAGCCGATGATAACTGCTTTCTTCTGCAAATATCGAAAAACAACAATAACAGCAGCAGCAGCCAGTCTACATAATTAATAGCTGTTAAAGGCGAACGCTGCAACAACAATGGCTCAACGTAACACAAACAAAGCCGAAGCTGACAGCAGAAACAACCACAATAACTCCGCGACTCAGCGTGACAAAAAAAACGTAGACAAATACGAAGAAAGAGCAGCAAGAAATATGCAAATAACAAAAACAACAGCAGCAAGCAGCAGCAATGGCTGCCATAGCCGGCGGCGGTGACAGCGACAGCGACGGCGGCGTCAACGATGCCTCGAAAAGCGCTCAAAATGCCAATCGAGTCCAAAGCATTTCACTCAAATTGCGTTTTGAGTGAAACGAAGTGACGTTTTGGTATGGGCCAACGGATTCACATAAATTGGTGAAAGATATCCAAAATGCGCACAGAAAACAGCCGAACGCGCATACAACTGGCCAGAGTTTGAAGACAGTGTTGCAGTGCAGTGCATAATACTACTAAAATTATATTTTTAACTACGTTTGGCAGTAAAAGTTTTAACAAAAAGGAAAACAATATGGTAAGCGCGAACTTTTACATACAATTTAAATTAAAATCCTTTTAAAGTTATAAAAATACCTTTGGTTAATTATGAACTGCATCAATTTTATGGAGTATTCACCGTTAGTTTTCACTAATTGCAGTTTCCTTTGTTGCTCTTTCTCGTAACTCGTTGCGAAAGTTGTTTTGCATTTGAAAAAAAAACGTTGCAAAATCTCTTGTGTTTTTTCTTCAAATCTTTCAAAATTGGCTAATGGCCATAGCTATAGCCGTGGTAGCATTTAATTACCATTCATATACATATGCATAAAGAAATCTATCAATTTGAGCTTTACTATACGCAATGGAGGCACGTCGCAATATCAAGTGTTTTTAATAGGCTCATTAAAATGCTTAAGCGGGACTCGTGGCTTACATACAGAGTGCGTATGGCCTATAGAATGGTTTAAAATTTTTGAAATTCATAAATATTTGTAATAGACTTAAATACTTATTTAACACAATTTGAATATTTTGGATTATTATTTTCACTTTGAGCTTAACTTTAACAGATATATATTTTGTGAGGTTAGGTATACAATTTCTGATAGTCGTTCACATAGTAAAGACAGCCTATTCATCTACCTTACAAGATATATGGCTCTCTCAATTAAGTAAGCCCTCGAGTGCTATTTTCGTATTTCTAGAGGCAATATTTCCTATTTTTGTAAACCTAAACCTGACGTGTTTTGTATTTAGTAACGTTATCTATGAATAGACACGTTTAATATACTTTGTTTTCATATAAAGTCAGATTATGTAAGATGTTTTCCAATCTGCTAAAAGGTAGAGCCATGTAGCTATATATAGTCATATATGGTTATTTCTATATCTGTAGCAGTTACCATATAGCTCTTCATTCATAAGCCTTTCCCAATCTAAAATTTTTTAGCTAAGGAAAAAAAAACAATATGTTATAAAAAAATGGGGCTTGACTCTTAAGCCGAGGAAATCCATAGAAAAAGATTCTAGAAATGACGCAGATAGAAATATCAACTGATAGACTAAGTCAGTGGCTACAGTGAATACCCGCAATATTTATAACAATGTATGCATATATGAATGTATATATAGACAGTACATGATCAGATGGCATGCGTCAGTCGAAACAACAAGAGTTTGAAGACATTTTTTGGCTTATCAGTGAAGCTGAATTGGGAGAATACCAAATCTCTTGAAATTTGTGTGTCAAAAATTGTGAATTGTTGTTGTTGTTGTTCAGGTTTCGGAGGAGGCGGAGGCTGCCGCCCATGCCAGATGTTGAGCTCCTGGCAACATATATTATAAACATGGTCATAGCTCAGAGATCGCTCATTTTAGAGATAAGAGTCAGGGGTGAGAGCTTACGTATATATTCTTTATAAGAAAATATTCGGTTTATTGACTGACAGACGCATTCGCAATCAGTCGGTTGAGCCTAGTGGTACGAGAGCAGCTACATTGCAATATATTCCCATATATATATATATATAGAACTAAAATAAAGACAGAGCTGATTCTAAGCATAGTTCAATAGCGCTATTGATAACTCTATCACGAACACTCAATTCATTTAAATCAATCAAGAAGTAAGTTTACAGCGATTAAAATACTATAAATCAGAAATTTTTCCATTGATCGTAGGCAGTCTATTTGGTATATATGTATGTATATGTATATATGGCAATTATATTAACAGAAAATTCGTACATCTCTGAATCTCAGGTGAATCAAAGCAAGTGTAAAATGGCTTTGTCCAAGATCGATGGGGAGATCGATAATATCGATCAGGAGAAATATTTGCGCCAGGCGACGCATTACTATTGCGCGCTGGAGAAACCGTTAAAGTTTGGACCCGCCGTGGACAGTTTGCCGGATCTGATATCGGCATTGCATCGTGAATTCGATGCGAACTATGTGAACATTGAGATGGTGAATCATCTGATGCTCGCCTACAAATCGAATCCCAAGGAATGGCGTAAATATGCCAAATTCGATCGTTACACGTATACGAGAAATCTGGTCGATGCCGGCAATGGGAAGTTCAATCTGTTGATACTCTGCTGGGGTGAGGGTCACAGCTCATCGGTGCACGATCACGCGGACTCGCATTGCTTCATGAAGATGCTGAAGGGTGAGCTGCGAGAGAAACGCTATCGGTATCCGAACCGGGGCGGCGATGAGGAGCAGCAGCAGCAGCAGCAGCAACAGGATCATCAACACATCAACGATCACGAGCTGGTGGAGATCGGCGATAAGCCCATACCAGTCAATGATGTGGCCTACATAAATGGTGAGTGCCTCATGCGCTGCCCTAAGCAAGTCTTTCCTTAACGGTTTTCCTTTTAACCCACTTCAGATAACTTGGGGCTGCATCGCGTGGAGAATCCCAGCCATACGGACACCTCGGTCTCGCTGCATCTCTACTGCCCGCCCTTCGATATGTGCAACATCTTCCAGAGCAATGGCAAGAAGATACCAGCCAAGGTTACGTTCTGGAGTAAATACGGCGTACGCAACAAAGCCAATGAGCAATAGACTACAAACACACATAGATATATATATACTCATATATATTTAAGTCTCCTATTATTAGTTGTTAAGCTCTTAGCTATACCAAAAATGTTAAATTAAGTTACATTAACTGAATAACAAAAATACTTTAAACTAGAAAACAAGTCTTATCTATGGCGCCTTGAACCCCCCCAAAGCTTATCATATTCCACGTACATATACATACATAGTTTCGAATTTAGCACGAGTTAGCGGTTTTGTTTTTCCTTATATGATTCAATTTAATTCATATGGACACATACACAAATACCGGAAAATAGATAGAAATAAAAGAACTCGAATTGGTTTCCTAGCTTCGATTCGAAGGATCATTCGCTGATCACTGATCGTGTGTAGCCCCTGCAAAGCATCAATTCGTGCTGCCAGCAGGACCTCATTGATTGATAATGTGCTATGATATGATATGATATGATCATCGACAATTGATCATTGATGGTTTCCTATGCTGTTAAGCATCCGCACTCTTTTGATCACGCAAATGCGATCTCTTCGGCACACCCCTATCGAGTGTCTTCTGTATGTTCTTCATCAGACCGGGCAGCAGATTGATGTGCTTGTCCACACAGTTGCCGGTGCACACCTCGAACAAGTGTCTGGATCGCGACATATCGTGTTCGTTGGGATTGCTGGGCAGCTTCGAACGGGCATCGCTATTGCATTCCTAGGGGAATTATTAAAGGATTTGTATACAGATACTATATAGTGCAGAGTATATTGATAAAGATAAAAAAGAGTCTTTCATAAATAATTCAATGTAGATATATCTCTAGATACTTCTCTATTATACTATATTAAACTGAGCTATTTGCCTAAAGATGGTATTTTTATTAAACCTTCATTTGGCTGGTACGAACTGTACCTTTTTAAATGAAGGTCCTCATAAGTTTCACATAATGTAGTTTTGGCTATACTTAATTTTACTTATATTATAATAGATATAAGGTACAGCTGACAAATTAATCTATAAGCTTAGACTATACAATATCTATTCCTGTTCAGCTCCCTTCCACCGACACAGCTTGACAATAAAATTTTCATATATCTAAATATAGTAGCTATATTTGCTAACTAGATCCTTAGGTTATCTTGAATCTGTGCCCAATAGGGGAACAGTTTATTCCTCTTGCCTTGAAAAAGCCTTAAAAATAATAGATCATTGATATAAATACGATCTCTCTTAAAACTAAAGCCTTTCCTAGCTGTACTTTTAGCTGTTTCCCCTGCCTGGCATTAAAATGTCTCTATGAATAGTCTAAAATTGAAAGACTGATCTCTTCTATCTGTAGTATATTACTAAGCAACACAGATAGATCTCTTTTATAGCTCCATCCTTCGATCTCCTTGAAGCTGTTCAGCTATTCACCTGTGCCGTTCAATTCTCTCACCTTGACACAGCCCTGCAAATGGCTTTGGAACTGTCCCAGCTCGCTCTGCAAATAGTCCTGGGCATCCATTAGGGGCGAGGCGCACTTCTCAATGCAACGTTGCACGCTGTCCAAGGTGCCGCGTTCATCGTCGCAGCAGGTGGCGGCGCACCGATGCATTATGGACTAGGAAATTCGATCCTTAGAATATATATCTATACTGATATATTCGCTTGGGGCTCACCTGCATGCGCCGCAGATGGGAGCGATACATGTCCTCGATCATGTCGCTAATGGCGCCCTCCAGGCGTCGCTTCTGTTGATCCACCATTTTTTTTTATTTTTAGGTTTATTTAAAGAATTTTGAAAACAAAACTACGTAAAATTGGCATATATACATAAATGTATAAGTATATGGATATATGTATATATATTTTCTTAGATTTATTTGTTTGAGTCTATGTATTATATAAATTGTTTTCAGTGCTGTGAATAATAGCAAAGCAAACGTTGTTTGGGGTTCAAGTGTTTACAGTATAATGATATATGTATGTACATATATTTATCAATTGCTCAAGAGATCTTTAGGGATCGGATAAAGAAGATAAAAGGGAGAGAGAGAGAAGGAAAGAGACTCTCTCTGAGAGCTAAATGACATGCATCAATGTCCAGTTTAGGATCATGTTAATTAACTTTGATATAAGTATGTCCAAACTTTTATACTCCCTCTCTCTCTCTTTCTTTCTTACATATAGAACGCTCTAGCTCCTCTTCCTGACTGCCAGTTTTTCGGCTCCAGCTTTTATTTTCTGCTGGATTTTTTATTTAAAAATATAAAAGATGTTTTCTGTTCAGTTTAGGCGCCATAAACCTGGCTTTAATTAGCGTGCTTAAAAGGGTTTTATGTTCTTCTTTTAGTTAACAATACATTTCAGAAAAGGGAGCTCAACAATTAAATGCAGCATATATGCACTATAGCATAATCATACACCACATATATGCTATAGCACATATATGCACAGGACTTAGACTTAGACTTGCGGTATGGCGTCGGGTCCCTTGGCTAGAACCGATTTCATTGTCTTCATTAGATTGGGTATGAGGCCAACGTGCTTGTCGACACATTGTATGGCGCATCTTTCGAACTGATCCGTAAACTTGGCTATCTGATCCTCGTTTGGATTGGGTGGCATTTTCACTTTAACATCATCGTTGCATTGCTAGAAATGAAACTTGTTGCAATTATCTCTCCCGCGCTCGTTCTTTCGTTTTATGTATTGTATATAGCTCACCATGACGCAACGTTGAAGTCGTCCCTGAAATTCGCCCAACTCGTGCTGCACGTAGTTTTGCGCCCTTGTCATGGGCGCCGAGCAACGGTCGACGCAGCGCTGCACGCTGTCCACGCTTGAGGTCCCGTCTTGGCAACACTTTGCCGCACACAGATGCATGTCCGTCTGTTAGAAAGAACAGGAAAACATCGATGAGTACATTTCCAATTGGATTCGTATTGGAGTAAGTACCTGCATTTTGCGTAAATGCGACTTGTCCATGTCATCGATGAGCTCGGTCACGGCTGACTCTACACGTTGGCGCTGTTGTTGTATCATTATTATTAATTATGGATTAAAGTCTGCAACTGCAACTGCTGATTTCGTAATATATGAAGTGTATAAAATAGTAATATGCTGCCCGGCTAGACAGCGTGTTTTGTAATTCGTAACGATAATAGTCTTCTTATCGATAAAATTAATTGGGATGTCAGCTGTTTTGGCTGCGAGTGGCGGCGGGTCGATGACTTGGATTTGTATTCTATCGCCTTAGTTGCAGCATTACCTGTGTAGTAATTCTTATTATTTTTCTAATTTATAAATAAAAAGAATGTCGCTGCTGCGTAAACTAGGCACCTACACGCTGCAAGCGAATGTCTGCAATTGGAGCCGCCAGCTATCCGCCACACAGCGTTTGTTCAGCACTGAAGGAACGACGACGAGCGATAAAAATGTGAGCGAGACACAGCCGGAAGAAAATACGGCCAAGGGAGGATTCGCGCGTGCCTTTGAGAGATATACGGCGCCAGTGGAGCCGGAGCCCGAGCCCGTGGACAATCAGAGTTTTGCCTCACTGCTGCGCAACTCCAAGTTCATTGATGTAGGTAGCATATGGATATTCCAGTCGATGTTTATGTAATCTCGTTAATTCTTGTAGCTTGGCGATCCGGAGGGCAAAATTGTCAGTGGTAAAATCTTTCACGTTGTCGGCGATGACTTGTATATAGATTTTGGCTGGAAGTTTCATTGTGTGTGCACGCGACCCGCGAGGAATGGCAGGTGAGAGCAAATACTAATTTATATGCATATATATATCAAATAAGTATTTTATTTATGCTTAAATCGTTATAAAATTCTGTTTGTCTAGCGACTATGTGCGCGGCGCACGCGTTCGTCTGCGCGTCAAGGATCTGGAGCTATCCACTCGATTCCTCGGCTCCAGCAAGGATATAACTATACTCGAGGCTGATTGCCAGCTGCTGGGACTGATCGCCACGCCCACGCGTCAATCGAACCCACGAGTGGAATTCAACGCACCACGAATCGAGACGTTGCTCTAAAGATCTACACAAAATATCTATTCACTGCATTAAACTAGTAAAAGAATCAAAAGTTTTTCTTGAAGCAGCTTTGTCACATCGTAAATTGGAAGACTTCGTAGTGATGATTCAGTTCCTTGACTGCGTGCAGTTGGAATTTACTGGTCAGTGCGCCATTCTCGGATTGCTCGAGGAAGAAGATGCGCTTGACGCGACTGTGCACCAGCGCCATGGAGCACATCAGGCAGGGCTCACGCAGCAAGTAGACATCGTAGCCGGTGCACAAGTAAGGACCGTATTTGCATAGATTATCAGCATGGATATCCTCAACAACTGCCTCTGACTGCTGCTGCTGCTCCTCTCTCCTGGGCAGCTCAGCGCCTAGGCTTAAATCCTGACAAGCTGCGTCTTGCTTTAGATAGTCGTAAAAGATTTGTGGCAAGCCACTCAAGGTGCTCTTTGTATGCGGTTCGTCTTTGACGAATTCCACATCCGATTGCCAGGCGCCGCCACGTTGACTGCGCGCTACATGATCCACCAGCCACATTACGCAATGCTGATGACTGCTGCCGTCGCCTGCAGCTGCGAAAGAAATCGCTGAGGATCAAGCTATCAGTGACTTGGGTTCACTTCCTCACCTGCTATGGCCACAATGCTCGGCCTTCGTGGGTCTACGCAAATGCCCACGTTTTGTCCCTTGCTCACATCCTTCGATAGCTTCCATAGCAGCTCGGCCATTCGCTTGTGGTATGCTCTTTGACTGTCTGTAAAATTACTGCCATTCTGCAAGGATTCGGCATATTTATCCGGGTGAAATTTGCATGGCCAATATTTGCTCATTTTTTCGTATTGCACACGCAGCTTGGCCGAACTGGCAGGCACCTCAATTACATTCACATTGCGGCAGAGGGCCTTTAAAACATTATCGGAGATCTGATGTAGCTTCAAGTGCTGCTCCAGTGTCTCTTTAATATCATCTGATGGACATATTAACACATTTCTGTCATGAACGCGCTTCAAGTGCTGGAAATGTGGCAGCTTCAGGGCGAGCTCTTTGATGACTGCTTGCAGCTGTTGTTTACTCTCCAATTGACAGCTGTGCACCTGCATCAGCTCTATGTCCTTTTTGTAGTCATCGGAGAGTATTGCTTTTATGCCAAAATTGTCAATTTTGATCTTTTTCGTAGCTGGCGGGCATAAATTGTCCTTAATTTCATTGTTGTCCATTGCTTACAAATTATCGAGTAGTTGAAAGCGCATGGTATCGATACTGTACATGACATGGTCACCCAACTATCGAGTATATACAAGCATTTGGTTTCGATATTATGCACAGCATAGTAAAATATGTACGATAGCTATCTGAAAATTCGATCGAACAGATAGCTGCCCGCCAACAGTCAAATAAAATTAAATTCGAAATTTTATGTGATGTAATTTGTATTAAAATGTGTTATTCTAAAAGTGGGTTTTTCTGCTGTATATCTCTTTACAACGGATGTATAATTATTGGAGTATCGGGCGTTATATTCGCAATTATTGGTCTTGCTATTGCCATTGCGAGACTTGCACATCTATTTTTAGTATGGGCAATTTTGGCAATAATATTTCTACTCATATATTTAACAGCCAAAATACTCCTACTTTTAGGTGTTGCATTTGTAAGTTTTTGATTAATAAATATATGTGTGACTGTAATAAAAATGATTATTTTTACAGCATAAATGCTTTCTCGTGCAACTGTCCTTTTATATAGTATGCATATCGTTATTATTCGCTTTTGTCCTGTGCGTATGGATAATGGCTGTTGATGGCGCAATATTACTCGGCGTCATAGGATTATTCATTATTTTGGGCACGTTTAGATACGGGATAACGATAAAATGAACAATGTATATATTTATTTTCGTTTCTTTGAATTTCAGTGGAAATTTATTTTGCCTGGATTGTGATTTCTTACTGGAATCTGTGTGAAAACTGCTGTCTAGCTTAAATTTAATAGCTTAATTAATGCCAAAGCGCACAAAAGTATTATATATTAAATGCATGTATACGAATTTGTTACCACATGAGTGTATATCTATATAATATATAATGTAGGTGGCACACTGTGTTGAATTATTTTATGTTTAATATTTAACAGTATAATTTTAAGCTTTACGTTTTTCTTTTTCCAATAAACGCTTACAATAACAATGCTCTAACGTTAAATAATTGCATTCAACATGTATAGCAGAGCCATTTTGAGTTTAACATTCGATTTTTGTAACGGCCATCAATAACAGAAACTGTTAGCTGTGCTGCCAGTAACAGATCAGATTCGATCATAACAATACCATTTGAGCACAACAATTGCACAATATTAAAATTAAAACTCTTATTAAACAAACAAAGGTAAATAACAGCAAGAGGCAACAGTAAGAGCTCCAATTGGTATACAAAACTTAAATTGATCAACAACGAGAAAAACAATAAAGAGCGACCGTTAAGCCGAACGTGTCTAGAACTTATAAATTCGTATAAGAGACAATCGAATTGTGTCGGCTCCAAAAACGCGAATTCAGTTCGCTTCGAAACGTCGTGTGGGTGAGTCGATGCAGCGGTAATTTGCTATGATCACTGTCGCCGTCGTCTTCGTGGTTTAGCGCGCGTGCGTGCAACGCTTGGAAGTGTTTTGTTGCTGTGTGCGAGAGTGTTTTCCACAATTAGAAATAACGGTGCGAAGGTGAAACTGGAAAGTCAGCGAAGCGCGTTCATTTCAAGTGCATCTTCAGATTGATATTTTGCAATTAGCTTAATTTTTTGATATACGAAGAGTTTTCTTACCTGTTCAGCCAAACAACAACAACAACCAATAACAGCAACAGCAAAGTTTTCAATATTGAAAATATTCATGTGGCCAGGCAAAGTTCATAGCCGGTTTAGTCATACGCGAAATTCTGAGAATTCTACAAGTGGATTTGATCTAACAGTTAAGTGTGCGCGAACGTGTGTGTGCATGTCTGCCTGTGGCTGTGTGTGTATGTTTGTATTTATGTATAACAGCTGTTGCACTGCACCTAAAGTCTAAATTGCGTACTTATTAGGTATTTGCTCTGCTCTGCATAGCAGCAGCAGATAAGATAGAAACCAAAGACGTTTTGCACAGTGTAAAACTCTTATATTTGCGCCCGCGTGTGTGTGTGAGTGTCTACATGTGTGTGTTTATCTTATCGGTAGACCATTGATTGAAGTAGCTTTTTGCTTTTGGCTAAAGCAATGCCGGGTGAAGTCATTTGCGCAGCGACTAAGCGAAAGAGTCTATGGACAGCTAGATAGGATATCTAAGCACCTATAAAACACCCAAAAGCAGCCAAAAGAAAAAAAGAGAAGAATAGAAAGAGAGAATAAAACCAGCCACGCAATCTTTGGCTAAATTTGGACACAGACCAAATACCAAACAAGGCATTGCGAACATAAATCAACTGCAACAGGAGCAGCAGCACCAGCAGCAGCAGTAGCCAAGATGGAATCCGATTCGGACACCTGGGAGGACTTTTTTGGTAAGTACGATGCCACATAGTTCGTTGAACCTGCCACCAATCACTTGCCTCCATGATCATCATCCTCATCATAATTATCATCACTTTGATGACTCAGCGCAGCAGGACTGCACTGTCAGAGATGAGCATGTGACATGAGCCGTTATGTGCATTCCAATCAGTGCAGTGTTGTCAGCGGCGCTTATTGCCAAATCTAGCCTTTTTTCCTTTGAATGTAGACTGAGCTAGCTCATAGCCAAAAATAGCTAATGCTTGAGCAGTTTACATTGTTAGCTTTTATCCTAGCTCTTATTTATGCATTTCCCATAGCCGATTCTAGCTTGGGAAGTATGCAAAATTAGCGATTTAGCTAGCTTTTTTCTGCGCTTATTCTGAGTGTGCAACACTCGTTCATCTTTGGTGTGGCGTGTGGCAAGGTTCTGTCTGGGGAGGTAGGCGTACGCATTTTCGCATGTTTTAGCATTTCAATTGTCTGTCTCCCTCTGCCCAAAAATGGCAGACACTAACACACGCGCAAGCGCATACACAGAGGACAGAGCACAGGCAGACAGAGGCCTGGCTTTGTTTTTGTTGGCTGCAGTCGTCGCTGGCGTCGTCGTCACTATAACTGTACACTTGAGTTGAAGTGCGTTTTGCTGTAACGGTTTCCAGTTCCATGATTTTTGCGCTGTTTTTCGTTTTTTTTGCATTTTTCTCGATTCGTGCGCCGCTTGTAATGAAATTTAATGATAATACATAATTTTTGTTGCCTCAAAATTTTTGACCCAAATTGCGTTTGAGCCACCCAGCCGAGAGCAATTGAAATATTGTTGGTCTTTTCTTTTTCCCACTTTGGCCATTTTATGTTAATCGCCTGCGTCTTAATTATGACCCCGTTATAAAGGTAACATTTTGAGAGCGCGTGCTGTTTGTCTTTGTTGCAAATCAAATGAGGGCGACTTGAAAAGGTGCCAAGAGGTGGGTGGGGTGCGTCCGCCAGTCTCTCGCCCAACAATAATTCAATTGTGCATTAGTCACACAATCATAATTTATATAAATACGACTACGACGCTCGTTCGACTGCGCTTAATGGCAATTTTTTGCGCTCTTAGATAACAGTACAAGTGCGCTGGCGGTCACTCACAAAGGGACTGTTAGTTAGCATTTCTCTTTTGGTATATGGGTGTGTGTGTGTGAATGCGATTTAACAGTGTGCTATAAATGACACTGTTAGTGCGTAATGATTGCGAATAGGTGAGCTTAGGTTTTTACCTTTTTGGAAATCAATCATGAAATCAATCGTAAAGACTCTCTCCATCTCTCTCACATATATCCTCTCTCATTCACTCTTTGCTCGTTAAAGTGGTTCGGCTTCGGTCTATTTTCGATAGTCTTACAGTCTTCCAGTGTTTATTATATAGATTAAGTTTATAGCAAAGAAGCTAATTTTTAACGAGAGTCAAAAAATTATAAATAATAGTAATACAAGATAATAAATCGAATTATTACTCGATTTTTATAGTCCGCAATTATCGTCCATAGAATTTACTGTCTTAATTGGATTGTTCAATATACATATATACGTTCTTTGGTTTAATTATTTTGTTTTTCAATTATTTTTTGGAAAGCCAATTAATGTGGTACTCTCTCTATTTCACTCTTCGCATTTAATATCTCTCTCTCTTTTTTACTCCCTGTTAGTCAGGCAATCAGTCACTTTTTTATAGCCTAGGCCTAATTTTAGCGTATCGCCTTTCTCTTCGATTTTCATGGCCTTCAATTAATGCCCACGAAGTTAGTCAAGTCTAAATATGCATTTTTTAAATCGAATTTCATTGCATTAGCAGACTTAAGGCAATAACCCACACACACACATATATATATATAAATAGTGTGCTCAGACACTTGTCTGCCTTCCACTTAACAGATAGTCAAGTATTTCTATATATACATATTTACATATATGTATATATATTTGTGGAAATAGAAAATTGATATCGTTGCCCTGTTGCTTGGACAACATTTGACCGCTTGTGCTATCAAATGTCACTCTCTAAATAGGGGCCGCAGAGGGGGTTTTCTATTTGTTACTTCCAAAAAACGAAAAAAAAGAAAGAAAATAACTGAAAGTCAAATAGAAAATTTGTCTGTTGCTGTTCGACTTGTTGACACAAGTGCTCGCTGACAGAGAGTCGCGCATGCACAGAGCCCCTGGGCAGGTCAAGACCGAGTCAGACTCGGCACTTTTCCTCACCTTTTATAAACAAACACACAAATAGATGATAGAGAGTGACAGAGCGAGAGACCCAGAGAGTGTGTGAGACAGAGAGAGAGAGAGATCGCGAGATGTGCTGTTAAGGAGGACAATACCTTTAACGGCTGCTGTCAAACCGCAAACACCACGGGAGTCTCGACTCGACTCTCAGGTCTTTTGAGTCTTGGAGTTCATTTGATATTATTGCTCTGTTTCTGATTGTGATCTGAGAAAGAAACCTTTTTCGGCTCTGCGGCTGTGCCCCCTTTTGTCATACCCTGTTACAATTGCTAGAAGTCTAATCAATTAGAAAATAAATAGATTTGAGTTATTTGACGTACACAATATCAAAGCAAAACAGATTCTAATATATCATATCGCTAATTACTCCTATTGTCTCAGAATACATAAGTAACGATATTCGGCCAGAGTTCTTTGAGCATATTTTAACATAAATTAGAGAAACTTTTAGATTTATATCAGTTTATCTTATCTGGAATTAGAGAAATTTATAAATATTATGCTGTAACTA